GTGCGGGAGGGGGTGCTGGGAGGAGGCCTGGGGAGCTGGGGGGTCGGGGGCGTCCTCTTGGGTCAGGCCCCAGCACAGACCTCAGGAACAGGAGGGGTGCTGCAGACCTGGCGGGCCAGGGAGCCCTCTCTGGGATGCCCCTGGGGGCATTCTCGGGGACCCGTGGATCCCCAGGGCGAGCCTGGGGATCACCTATCGAGGGCACCTGTTAGGCCAGGGCACAGTGGGAGGGAGGGGAGGAGAGGGGCCCCCGGGCTCTGTTCTCCCCCTGAACAGACCATCCCAGCCCCCCCACCCTGGGCCAGCCCACGGGATGCATGTCCCTGGCCACCTCCCCACGGGTCATGTCTGCACAAGGGCCCAGGGCTGACCGCAGGGGTCCTCGGTCCCTGCAGCTCAACTGCTGTGGTTCCAGCACGCTGTCCACGCTGACCACCTCCATCTTCAAGAACAACCTGTGTCCCTCGAGCAGCACCATCATCAGCAACTTGAAGGTACGCGGGGCCGGGCCTCCCAGGCTTGCTCCCACGCTTCGCCACCACCAGCCATGCATGGGTCCCGGGGGGTGGGGTGGGCTTCCACCAAAGGGGCACCTGCTGTCTGGTACGCTCTCTGATGCTGGTGGGTCTCTGCCTCTGGCTCCCGATGGGAGAGTGGGTGTGGAGGGCGCCCCGACTGCCCAGGTCAGCACCCTCCTCGGGCGGCTCAGCAACCTGAGCGGAAGCGCGCACACACACAGCACGTTCCGTTTCCACGTCTGTTTTAAAACCGGTGTGAGATAACCTGGCAGAGACCAGGCCCTGGTCACACCTCTTCTGAGGGGTTGAGTCCCTCCGTGCTCTTTCCACAACGAGCCCGTGTGCCGCTGCACTGCGGAGGCCTGAGGCCTGCACCCCTGACGGTCTGCGGGCTGTCGCCCCCCCGCCCCCCCAGGAGGACTGCCACCAGAAGATCGATGACCTCTTCTCGGGGAAGCTGTACCTCATCGGCATTGCAGCCATCGTGGTTGCTGTGATCATGGTGAGTGCGCGGGCCAGGCATCTGCTCAGGGCGCGCCCTCAGGGCTTCGGGTGCTGACTGTCCCACCGAACCGCTCCCTGCAGATCTTCGAGATGATCCTGAGCATGGTGCTCTGCTGTGGTATCCGGAACAGCTCCGTGTACTGAGCGGCCCAGCCGCTCCCGCTGCAGGGGAGGGCCGGCGGGACTCCTGCAGTGCCCCTGGAGTGACCGGACATTTCTGAGGAGGGGCCGTCACCGCCCGTGTATATAACTTCTCCGGTATTACTCTGCTACACTTATTAGCCTTTTTACTTCTGAGGTTTTGTTTTTGTCCTGAAGTTCCCCGTTACCTTTTGGGGCTGACGTCACCTATAGAGGGCACGTGAGCGGGCCTTGGGGACTGTGAGGCGGGCACCCCCTCTGCTTCTGCGGCTGGAGGGGCTCTGCCTGCTCAGCCGGGCCTGTCCTGGGGGCCCCTCGGCCCACCCACCTGCCCCCCGGGCTGCACGGCTCATGCCTTTTTTAACCGTCGTTCCTCTCCTGCCACTTGTGTGGAGCCGGGTCTGCAAGCAGCCCTACGCCTTCAGTGCACCTGTCCTTTCTAACTCGTCACCTTTCACTGTAATTACATCTCGAAAGTCATTCAATAAAGGAGAATCTGGGCATGCGAACAAACTGTCTCTGTGCCTGCAGCGTCCGAGACCCGGGGGTGGCCAGAGGGGCAGAGGAGCCGGCACGGGCGAGGCACGGCTCTGTGGACCTTGCAGGGTGTGCTGGGGCCCCGAGAGCACTCCACACAGCAGGTGCCCCTGTGGTGAGTCCTGTGCCGCCTTCACCAGCCTCCACCCAACCTCACTCCCCCACCTACTCCTTGGGCACCACCGCCCAGAGCGGGGCAGATACTGTGGTGTAGGGTGTGCTTGAGGTGGAGGGCCTGCAAGACTCCCCTTCCTCCTGGCGGACAGCTCTGTGGAGGACACACACCGTGCCCCCACCACAGGGACTCTTCCTGGCCTGTTTGGGTGCTTGTAAGTGTTCCATGGAGAAACTGGGTAGCTCCGGGCCTAAGCTGCATCTTGCAAGGGCTGAAGAGGAAGGTCTGAGCCTCTGCATGGGGGGAGCCCACCCGACCGTGATGGACGTGAGGCCCAGCTGCCACCCCCCGGGTACTGCTGGGTGATGTCACCACGAGCTATGCTAAACTGACCCCTTGAGGCCGCAAACGCCTGGCTGGGATTCACGTTGAGGGCTCACAGCTGCCTCCTTTGAGGTTTATTTTGGAAACTAGCCCCAGCCCTGCATTTGGGGTCACCGGGTCTCAGCGGGGTCCGCCCCTCCTACCACACCCCTCCGCCTTGTGTGCTGGGGTGGGTTGCTGGGAGAACAGAGTGGCCCACTGAGCCCCCTCCTGCCTACTTCCCCCTGTGCGACCCTGGGGCACCCTGGCCCAGGGGCACAGCGCAGCTGCAATCCGTGCTCCAGGGGTAGGCCTGGGGGCGGCCCCAGGAGTGAGGGGTCCCTGGGGCATCCTGGCCACACTGCACAACGCAGCCGCAGTCCGTGCTGGGGAGGCAGGGGGCAGCCCCAGGAGGGAGGGGTCCCTGGGCTTCCCGACCACGCCTGGACTGCAGCCCCGAGAGGAGCGGGGGCCGGCGGGGACGCACAGGGCAGTCCGAGGGGACGCGGCCGGCCAGGCCATCGCAGTGGGCAGGCGAGGCCAGGACGCCTGGAGGTAGAGACGATCGCTCAGCGGAAACCCGGACCCGCCCCCATCTCCCGACCCACGAGGGGCGCGCCCGCGCGGTTCCGGCCGGACCGGAAGCACCCGGCAACGGCGCTGCGCGCGAGGATGCACTTCCGGTTTGGGGCATCCGCTGTGCTCGCGACTTCCAGCAGGTGGCGCTGGGGCCCCGGGAACGCGGAGGCGGCCGTTAGCCCTCGAGCATTCTGGGAGTCGTAGTGCTGCCTCTTCCTCCTCCCTATTTTCCCTACTCAATTCCGGCTCTTGGCGAGGAGGAGAGACGCCGTTTCCGGGGAGGGGAAGCTCGGAAGAGAAGTGAGGACGCATGCGCAGGGGCTACGCGACCCGAGAGGCCTCGGGAGTAGCGGCCCAGTGCCTTGTGGGAGATGTAGTTCTTCAGGTGTGGACGCCGCGTCGCTGGGTCGGCGGAGGACTCGGTTTCCCAGAAGGCCGAGCGCGGCGCAAGATGGAGCCGGCCCGACCGCGCCGATCCGGTAGGTTTGTGGTGAGGGGGTGCGCTGCTGACTACCGGTCGCGTTTCTGGGAGGTCGCTGTCCGCAGCCTACTTGCCCAAGCCCGGAGCACCCCCAGAGTGCTTCGTGTCTCCGGTCCCTCGCGGCCTGGGCCTTGGGACCCCGACCCTTGTGCAGCCTGGACCCTGTCCGGCCCAGGCCCCCGACGGAGCGGAGAGAAAGCCAGGGACTCTGCTTCCAAATGGGGGCAGCGCGCGCCGGCAGGGAAGCTAGTGGGCCCGTCCCCTGGGACCGGGCCCCAGCCCCCGAGTGCCCAGCCGCTGGAAGCCCCTGGCCCGCTGAGTTCACGAAGTTCGAAGAGCACTCCAAGAGACACACTCCCGGACTCCCTGCCGTGGGGCCCTATCCCTTTGTCCCCTGGAGCGTCCCACTGATCCGGCCACTTCTCTTAGTCGCGGTGGCGTCCCCGGCGGTGCGGACCACAGGAGCGCGAATTTAGGAAGCAGGAGTCTAGCTGGAGCTCCTGCTTTCCCTGCAGCGTGCTGTGCGACTGGCACGTTGTCTCTCCCTCTCTGGTCCTGCCAGCTCCAAAACACGTTGGTGGGGTGTGTTTCGTGCTCCCTTTCACTCCGGGAGGTGTTCCTGCACTTGGGGAGTCGTGCCCCAGAGCAGTGGAGGTCTCGTCTGTGTTTGATCGGCTATGGGGGCACTCGCGGCCTCTCCTGGCCCACCTGCCTGGTCCTTGCTGGGCGCACGCACCACAGTGGGCCACCCTGGACTAGGGGGGCTTGGTGGAGAGGAGTTGGTGGATGGATGGGTGAGGCTGGGCTGTCCTCTGAGCCCAGGAATGCATGGTGCAGGGTGCCCGCTTGGTCACACTTGGGCCACTAAGTGAGTGTTGGTGGCACTTCTGTGCCCTGCTGGGAAAGGTGAGGTGTGTGCGGGGTTGCGGGGGAAGTGCCACTGGAGGTTGCTGCAAGAGCTGCAGGGCTTGCCTCTGCCCAGCAAGGGTGCCCCAGGTGGTCATTGACACCCCACTTCCCTGCGGGCTTGACCGTCAGATGCCAAGGACCCGGCTGCAGACCCCTGTGGAGTTCCCGGGGCCTCTCCCAGCAATCAGGAGCAGACCTCCTTGCCTTGGGCCAGGCAGGTGGCCCAGTCTTTGTGGAGTACTTGCGGCGTGCCATGCGCCGCGCTGAGCAGTTAGTAAATGAGCGTACTTGCTTGAGAGTAGTAGCATAGAGCTACTATGTTGACCCCGGGGTCAAGCCCTGGCTGTCTGCCTACTACCACAACCCCATCCCCCGGCATCCCCCGGCGGGCCCTAGACATGACTCAAGAGTGTTGAATGAGGCGATCTTTACAAAGGATCTGCTCTCAGGCCTGGCCTCTGTCTGGGCTCCATAAACCCAGGACCACCCCTTGGGGGTTGTGGCGCCATTTCTGCACCTTTGCGGTCTGATCTGACGGTTGGCTCTTCCCACCCTCAGCCCGCTGCAGTTGAGCAGCTGACCGGAGCCGGACTGAGGCCAGCACGCCTTTGCCAGCACTTCCCCCACCAGCACTCCAGTGTCCGCACAGACATCCATCAGACAACGGAGGTGAGCGGGCTTTCAGGGGACAGGGATCTCTGTCCCTCGCCTTGTAGAACACAGTTCTTCCTGTGGGTCCTGCCGCCGGCCCAGGGACAGTGGGTCTACAGGAGGGGCCTCTCCTAAGTGCCTGCGATCCTCAGAAACGAACTTCTTGGGCTGTCTGGTCTGGGTGTGGTGTGCCCTGGGACACATGTCTGAGGCAGGGGCAGGAGAGGCCCTGGAAGCCAAGCAAGGGACAGAGGATGACGCTCTGCCTTCTGACGCTGTCTCTCTCAGCGACTCAGACTCTGATTTCAGCCTGCCTGCCGGTGCTGAGATGGAAGCTCTGTCCCCAGGGGTGCTGCCTGGGGAGGCCCAGGGGGACTCAGACCCTGATGAGTCCCCTTTGCCTCCAAGGGGCCTCCCCACAGCCTCAGTGCAGCCGTTCCACCTGAGGGGCACGAGCTCCACCTTCTCCTGGCGTAGTCACAACATCTTTGACTGCCTGGAGGGCGCAGCCAGGCAGGTTCTGCCCTCTGTGGCCCAGACTGGCCCGGGTGACAATGGGGGCTTCCTGCGCCCACTGGCACCCTCAAGCCAGCCTCCAGGGGAGGGCCCAGGCAGGGCCGGTCAGAGCCCTGCCCCCGCAAAGTTGCCCCCCGTCCCTGACTATGTGGCCCACCCTGAGCGCTGGACCAAGTACAGCCTGGAAAACGTGGCCGAGGTCAGCGAGCAGAGCAACCGGGCCACTGCTCTGGCCTTCCTGGGCTCCCCGAGCCTGGCTGCCCCCAGTGACTACATGCCCTCTTTCAACCAGGATCCCTCCAGCTGCGGGGAGGGAAGAGTTGTCTTTACCAAACCCGCCCGAGCTGGCGAGGCCAGGCCTGAGAGGAAGAGGGCCCTAAGGAAGGCTGGAGAGCCGGGAAGGGCTGCGCCTGGGAACCTGGGCGCCGCAGGGGGCGAGGGCCCTGTGGAGCTGGCCCACCTGGCCGGGCCTGGGAGCCCGGAGGCTGAGGAGTGGAGCAGCCCCCACGGGGGCCTTCAGGAAGTGGGTGTGCTGCAGGCCGCTGCCCACGCTGGGTCAGCGGCAAGGCCCCCGGTGGTGGAGACTGTTGGCTTCCATGGCAGCAGGAAACGGAACAGAGACCATTTCCGGAACAAGAACAGCAGCCCGGAGGCCTCAGGTGCTGAGATCTAAGAGAAGAGACTGACCAGGCTGGCGGAGGAGGGCAGCCAGGGCCACTGGCCACTTGGGGTGGAGCACAGCTCGGGGCCCCAGCCCCTCGGGAAGGGAGCCAGCGGACTGCCAAGTCGGAGGTGCCGGCAGCCTGGGCTGAGGCTCAGGGTAGTGGTCTCTGAAGCAGACCGCTTGCCAGTGGATGGCAAAAACCCTGCCCACCACGTGCCCTGCCCCCGCAGGCAACAGTAAAGGTTTGGGGTATTCCTTCGGCTTTGTGTCTCTGTGTAGATCCTTCTCCTCAGGACCAGTGTGCTGGGGCCCCGTCTGCCACCCGGCACACCCACACGCCCTGTTCTCTCATTCGATCCTCCCCAACTTAGTGCCAGGGGGCATGGAGGCTTTTTAAATCGACGCCTGGGTTTATCAGCAGCCCGTCTTCCCAGAGGGACTGAGGCAGCCCCTCCTGGGTCCAGAGCAAGAGGTGCAGAAGGCCCCGGGCACCCTCCAGGGGGTGAGCTCACAATCCCAGCTGTCCAGCCTCTGCCCCCAACAGGGCTGGGGACATGGAATCTCGATGAAATGGGTCTCTGGGAGGCCAGCATGTGAGTGGGGACAGGGGCCCTCCCCAGCCCTGGCCACTCTTGCCCCTTAGCTCTGGCTTGCCTGGGCTGTGTGTGATGATGACCAGTGTCCTGGGACCACATCGCCAGAACAGCTGAGCTGTGTGCAGGGACCCTGCTGGTGTGCCCGGGCCCAGCGGTGGGGGAAGGAGCACTAGCCCCTGAGGGTGCCAGGGAAGACAGACTGGGACAAACATGTACCCCCTGTGCCTGCCTGGTGGCAGGACATAGCAGAGACTGGCCAGCCTGCCGTCCCAGCCCCAGACCCCCGAGGGAAAGGGGGACCACTTGGCTAGCCACTCACCCTAGCTAGGGCCAGCACAGGGGCCTGGACCCCCCTCTGACAGGCAGGTAAATCGGCTCACTGTGCCGTGGCCTTTACTGACTTGTTGTGGGTGTGTTCTCTTAGGAGAAAGCAGCCGTGGGGCCAGAGGTGAGTCCTCTTGGGGCAGTGCCCTGGGGCTATAACCCAGGCTAGACATAGTCTGGCACTTGCCATGTGAGCAGGTGAGGGTGTGCAGGGCTGGGAGCCAACATGCACAGTCAACACCCGGCTCCAGGTCCTAAAGGGCAGAAGTTCTAGCCGCTAGTGTTTCCAAAAAATGAGTTTTAATGGGTGACACAGGTTGGGTAGGAGACAGGTATGGGCCCCAAACTGTTGCCCACCAGACGGGAGGTGCTTCGGCCCAGGCCGGGCAGTTGTGGATGGGACCCACGGGGCTCCCCCAATCTGGAGAGGGCCCCCTGTACACCATGCTTCCACGTGGAGAGAGTTCCCAGGGAAGGTGCCAGGCAGGGCAAGGGGTGGTTTCTTCTGACGAGGCCACTAGAGCCACATGCCACTGAGGGCCCCGCAAGAGGTGGGGGATGTTTGGTGTGTCTCTAGGGTCTGCGATGGCCAGCTAAGGGCAGTGTCCCTGCCTGCCCATCGTGATCGGGGCGCTGGGAGAGGTGGGCCCCGTGTGTGGACCGTCCAAGTGGCTCAGGCCTCAGAGCCGCCGGCCTGCCTCTGGGTGCTTGCTGCTGTCTGCATCCCCTCTGAGGCCAGCAGAGGCTTGCTGGTGTCCACCTTTGAAGGTCTGGGAGGCTGCTGAGGAAGGAAGACCCCTCAGCTGCTGGGTGTCTGTTGGGGCCAGCCCAGGGAAGGGAGAGGTGGCTCGCGCACACTAGCACGGGACACGGTGGCCCCGGCCGGGAGGAGGTGGGAGGGCTGTCGTTCGGGAGGGCTGCCACCAGGCAGAGCCTCCAGAGTCCCGAGTGGCCACACCCTCGTGCCGGCTGAGGTGGGGGGCTCCAGCAGAGGGCACCTGCCCCACCCCTAAGACATCGCCACCCATGGGCCATCGAGGACTGGGTCAGTCCTCCCAGGGCGGGAAGGCAGATGACAGGGCACAGCGCGACAGTCCTCCGCCTGTCCCCAGGCCAGCCTTGCCCCTTCCTCAGCTGTGTCTTTCCCGGATGCACACTTACTGCAGTAGGCGCCGCTCTGAGTCCCAGAGGACAGTGGGGTCATGGAGGACAGGAGCACCGCGCAGTAGTTGATCTGGAGGAGGAGGGAGAGGCATCCAGGGGGGCCCCAGGGCCCTGCTACCCCGTGACCCTCCCCTCCGGTAGCTGTGCTGGAGGGAACGGGCGTGAGGGCGAGGTTCCAGGTGTGGAGAGTGGACAGTGAGGGGGTCCGAAGGGCAGGACCCCTTCCAGGGAGGGCACGCTGTCCCTGAAGTCACATGTGGGGACAGGTACAGGTACTGCACCCCCCAGGGCCTCGCCCTGCCCTGCCTCCTGCTGAGCCAAAGCCTGGGTGCGGGCCCGGTAGTTTGGATATTGGGGTACAGGGCTGTGGGTGAGGGCCCCGGTCAGAAGAGCACGTGGTCTGCCTGCCTACCTGTGACTCCAAACGCTTGATGCGCTTTTCTTGTTCTCTCAGCCCCCCGAGGTACTGGGCTACAGACTCCACCCTGCAGCAGAAGCTGGTGGGCACAGGGTGCTCCGCATTTGGGCGATCTCCCCATGGTCCCCAGATCTGGGTGCAGAGCCCCTCTGCCCTCCCTGGGAGCTCGATGGGGCTGCGTGACTGCCAGCAAGAGCAGGCAGCAAGGGCAGGCAGGCCTGAAGGAACTGCTGGGATGGACCATTTTGGGGGGACCCAGAGCAAGGAGGACCCCACCTATATCAGCCCCTCACCCCTCTCAGCTTCAGCCTCCCCAGCTCAGGCGGCGGCCACACCGGCTTTAAGGCCGCCCGCCGCTCGGCAGTGACGGTGGCAGAGGTCCTGGGGGATCTTACAACCTCTGGCACCCCGCTCGGGGTCCGGCCGTCCCTCGGCAGGCCCTTCGCCAGCTCTGCCAGCCCCTCTTGGCGGCCCGCAGGGGACATAGCCCTGGTGTGCAGGCCGGGGGGCTCCGGGGCCCCCGTGCGGCCCCCACACACCTGTGGGCGGTTTTCCGCAGCACCTCCTCCTTGCTGTCCTTCCTCTGCTTCTCCAGCTTGCTCAGGTAGTTCTCCTTCTGAACTGCCTCCCAGGTGACCATCTGCTGGTCCAGGGGCTCCGGCAAGTCTCTCTCTGGGAAGGCCGGGGCGGCCACAGGCTTGGCTGGAGCCAGGCGGGCCTCGGGGCCAGGGGAGCCCAGGGCAAGCCCCCCGCCCTCCGGATCACTGCAGACGGGCCCATGGTGTGAGGCGGAGGAAGGCGATGGGCTCAGCCTGTGCTGGCTGCTCTGGGCCTGGACAGAGCCCGGCCTGGAGGCCTTGGTGGGGGGCTGAGGAGGGGACCCAGGCCTCTGTGTGCCTGCCCACCCGGCATGTCGCCCGTCCCCTTCCATGTGGTCCAGGGCCGCCAGGCCGTATCCAGCCCTGTGGCCTCACCCAGGTGCTCCCGCTTCTGCTTGGCCCCCTTCTGGAAGAACCTCTTGAGCACCAGGCTCAGGTGGCTGAGGACGATGAAGGGTGGTGCCAGGGCGGGGCGCTCGTGGTACTCCACGATGAGGTGATAGCGCTGGAACTTCCAGAACATGTCGGCGTTGCCCTGCACCACCTGGAACGTGTAGCTGTGGGGCCCGCGTGTGGGCGGTGGAACACGCATGGGCCTCCCGGGTCCTCCATCCTGGTCCCTGCTGTGGCCCCACACCACTCCCAGAGGCCCCCCCACTTCTGTGATTGTCTCTACTCCCTCGTCGCCCTCTGCGGGGTGTGTCTAGAATGGGGTTGCTCACGTGGGGTCTTCACCGTCCCCTCTGCTCTCCTGGACAAGCCCAGGCTTCCCTGGTGCAAACCTGCCCTGCCACGCCTGTCATTCGCCCCACCGCCTCCTTGGGGCCTTGCCCTCCCTCAGCCTGTGGTCCAGGCTCCAGTCCCTCTGGGGGCGGGGGTGCAGAGAGGCCCCTGCACACGGTCCCTGGGGCCCCCCACACATGGAGGGAGCACAGGGAGCGGACCACCTGAACATGGCGATCAGTAGGTTCATGAGTAGCACGTTGGTGACCAGCAGGAAGGTGACTAGCAGGAGGATGACAAGCCAGTTGGCATAGAGGTTCGGGCAGGAGGGGGAGTCCTCCTGCAGCAGGGGGTGCAGGGAGCAGTTCACGCGGGCTTCTGAAACACAAGTGGCGTGGTGGGGGCCGCCTGGACTGACACCCTCCGATCTTGAGAGCTTCCTTGGGGTGAGGCCACCCAGCGGCGGAAGGCAGTGTGGCCAGGTGGCCCAGCTACCCTGGTTGGCTGGGGATTATCGGGCTTAGCACTGAAGTTCCTGTGTTAGGACACCCCAGTCCTGGCACACCAGGGAGACAGTCAGCCAGGGGCCCTGGTCCCACTCCCCCACCTCCTCCTGACTGTGGTCACAGCAGGGCCACAGGTTCTGGGGGCAGAGCCAAGGCCATCTAGGGGATGGGGCACAGAGAACCCCAGTTTCTGCTGGTAGGTGTGTGCATTCCCCACCACTACCACCACCAAGGGCTGTGCTCGAAGCTGGTGTGGAGAGAGCTGGCCGAGGCGAGGGGTGACCCTGTCTCCCCCTGCAGGACTTGTCAGGGACTTTATAACACTAAAGCCTGTCACGTGGCACCCAGCTTGGGCGGGGGTGGGGGCCAAGTCTGCACCATCTCCAAAGCTCATCTGGCCACACTGCCCTTGACCCTGATTGCCACAGGCACTGTGGACACAGAGCACCTCTGGGCCATGCCAGCTCACAGAACATTCTCTGGCCAGTGGGAATGAGTGTGCGATCTGGGAGCAGGCTGAGCTCTGCACCCTGGGCAGGCGTGCCCTGGGGGGCCCGGGGATCACAGCTCCGGCCCCTCACCAGCCAGCAGCTCCCCACTCACGGGACAGGAGGTGTGGGGGGAAGGAGCAGAGCGTGAGTGCACAGGCCATGGCCGCCCGGGGTGCTTGCCGCATCTTCCTCAGGAGGGGGCCCATGGCTGCATATGTGCGTGCGCCCGCGTGCCCATGTGGATGCTGCC